TATATATATATATATAATAAGTTAAAACAAAACAAAATGATGAATAAAATGATTTTATACATACAGAACCATATGTTTGCTTGTTTTTTCCTATGGCTTGAGAAACCTTGGGTATTTGACACTTGAATAAAGGTATTTAGTATTTTTATACTTTTATTCTATTACCATGGTCATAAACTGAATTTGTTACATTGAAATAATATTATAATATTCAATAATTAAAATGAGAGGTTTTGCATTCTGTATTTCAATGCAAGACATTTTTATATTTATTTTCAACACCAACTAAAATAAACAAATCAACTAACAGTTCAGTAAATATTATATATGAAATATTCTGCTTTTAATACTTTGATTGAGCTCCTCATATTTTGGAATGACTGACTCTGCTGATGACCTGCTTGAAAAAAATTATTGGCAGTAAACGCAATTTTTTAATCCATGTTCAGAAGATCAAATGATTTTTATACTGTACCCAAAGTGTCTTTAATTAAATAAAAACATGAATGCTAAATATCTTAAAATGTCCCTGATGTAGATGAAACCTTTATACGCAATATGCTTCAACAACAGAATGAAGATGGTTTAATTTCCTGCTCTGATTTTTTTAACTTTTGAAATAATCATTGTTTCATTTTGATCCCTCAACTTCATGTTGTGGCATTCGGCTCTGATCCTGTTGGATTTTCAGACGGTCAGCCTCCTGACACTAGACAGGACCTGACTGGACTATTCACAGAGAAACCCCAGAGTGGAGAGGTCACTGTAGGTGAGTGGGTTCAAATACAGGAATGCTTCTAATATATGGAAAATTATCTAAAATATGTGTCAGTTACCCCCTTAGAGGAAGTTGCACTGTTTGGCAAGGTATTGGGAAATCTATGGAAATAATGTGAGCTGGTGCTTTTAATTTGAAAACTGCAATTTTTAACAAATTATCTATGCATTTTAGTTTTATTTTAACTTTGTCAAACTGATAATGTACATCCTAGATCTAAGTGATGAAATAATGTATACTGATGTTCATATGCACAGAAATATAACATGACATTGTAGTATGCCGATCATTTGAGTAAGACACAGAGTAAACAACCAAAAAGTTGCACTGGATGTCAGAACCTAGTGCCTAAAGTGTTAAACCACATGACAAACTATTCCTTTGCATAGGTGAAAACATCACGTTTGTGGCTAAAGTGAATGCTGAGTCATTGCTGAAGAAACCCACCGTCAAATGGTTCAAAGGGAAGTGGATGGACCTCGCCAGCAAGTCTGGGAAACACCTGCAGCAGAAGGAATTGTATGACCGCAACAATAAGGTAGACTAATGCTGCGGACACGAAGACGGAAACGTAGACATTAGCAGACAAAAACCATCACACTTTGATTTCATACACATCCCAACACGTAGTATCTGTGGGATTTTGAGCTCTTAAAAACAGCTCATCATATGTCATTTTATTATTATTAGTTAAAAACTGCAATATGTAACATTTTACTTTGAGGTAACAGAGGTGTTTTGCAAGTATTAAACTTCTCACCCTCAGTTTTGCAAGCTCTTGCCTCAGTCACTCATCCTGATAACGTGATGAACCGCAGGCACGCTATCTTAAAGGTAATGTTATTGGGAGACTGGAGGACATGTTGGCCCCAACAGATTTCATTTCAGATGGTGAGGGAAACATTTACAAGGAAAAGAAAGTATAGCAGTATAATCAGTGGCACAAAGATCCCAAATCTGAAACTAACTAATAATAAAATGTTATACAATCAAAATCAGAATCACTTTCATTGGAGGTATTTACACGTACAAGGAATTTGACTCTGGTTTTATGTTGCTCTCAATGTTCATACACAGAATAGGCAGAAATAAACAGGACAACAAGCTCAACAAAATAGACATAAGCTTCTCACATCTCTCCTCATGCATGCGGTTGCAGATCTATACGTTTGAGATGCAAATCATCTCAGCCAAGCCTAACTTTGCTGGAGGTTACAGATGTGAGGTTTCATCCAGGGACAAGTTTGACAGCTGTAACTTTGAACTGGCTGTACATGGTGAGTTGGCTTATTGTTGGAATATTGTTTAACTTTTTTATGTGCTAGTTTGTTTGTTGCACTCATTAATGTTTGTAATATTGTCATTTCAGTCACTAATATGATTCTCTTGTATCACAACGACTTTGGTGCTTGCTCTATGTTTCAGAGGCTCGTGCTGTTGAAGGTTTTGACATAAGAGCCGCTTTTAGGCGCACGTAAGTTTCATGAGACTTTTTTACTTTGTACAAAACACAAAAATGCCATTGGTCATATTATATTTGTTTACATGCTGATTAGTTTCCTTTTTTCCATATCAGTTTCTCATTGAAGGTTTGACTGCTGGTCCACTGACACATTTCATTAATAGAGTCACACGACTATAAAAGTCAATCTGTATTTATTTTCTTTACAGGGCTTCAGAAAAGTTACATTAGATACTTTAAATCCTCAATCAGTTACAAACAAAACTCACTTTTAACTAATAGAACAATATCAATGGTGATTCACATTCATACATATACATACATACATACTTTTTTTTTAAACAAAGAATAATATTGCAAAGGAAAATTCTAGCTTGAATTGTTTCTGAAAGCAATATAGTTTATACTGGACATCAGAGTTTTAACATCCTGTTTTCTTATGATAGAAAAACCACAAAGCTTTAAGCAACATTTAATAAATCACACAAAAATAAGTTTATTTTTCTAATTAATGTGATAAAATTACAGTAAAACATATTCACTGCAGTTATCTATTTATGGTTTGTTCCAGGTCAGGTGTATTTAATATTTAACATATAAATATATATATATATTTATAAATATTAATATGAATATTTTATGCACCCTCCAATGCACTTTACTCTGCAACAGCATAGTGACAGTAATTAGTGTGCAAATGAGCTTGAGTACTGAAAACTAATTAGTTTCAATAGTCTTACTAGAAACCAAAAAGGCATACCGTTGATCAGGAGCAAAACTGTAGCCATTTATATGTTGCCAAACTTAATTAACACAGATTTTATATGAATCACTATATTGACTAATTGGAACTGAGGAGGTTAAAGAGTTTAGAGACACAGTTGCCAAACTTCAGTGGAGTATTACCATGTTCTGTGTAACAATAACTGTGGAAATGCTAACCTATTAGGAGTGAAGCCGGTAAGAAGAGAAGTGGACCTCAAACAAGGTAGTAAAGGGGTTTGTTGCAACAACGGAGGCTCGTATTCAAACTCTGAGGACTTGTTTAAAGAACAGAGAAATCAGGACCAGGATCAGAGGCTCTTTCTCTCTCCTGTGGCCTGTTTCTTCTCTGCCTTCAAGTCAAACAGAACCAGTGTTGTGGATGGTGCACCCTCCAATCTGCTGAATTTTAAGTGAACGACCACAGAACGAAGACCATGAGAGAGCTGACAGGACTCAAATTCTAAATCCTGGATGTTGTCGCCAGTAGCCAGGTCTTGATTTGGTGAGATTTGGTTATTAAACTATTAGGTAACAGGCGCTGGTTGCAGTCATCAGCTCTCTCTGATCTACTCCTGGGTCTCACTCAAAACAGCAGAGCCAGCTGCACAAACAGCTACCCGGCAGAGTGAGCTTTGACGGTGGTTTGATCGTGCTGAAAGTGCAGGATGTGCTAAGACACACAGGCTTTTCAGTTGTTCGTGCTCTTCCACAGGGTTGCCACATAGAGGAAGTGCAGCTATGGTGTGTTGTAACTCACCACATAAACCAGAGACTCAGCTTCTAATCCTGCTGTTGGATCAGACGCAGGAGACAAGCACACAGTCAAACCTATGCCCTTGTCTTTATCTTTCATCCCACTGATTAGAGACGAGCGGACCCTGTGGTGACTGTTGTTTTCTTTAACCTTGAGTGTTTTGTATTGTCCTTGCTTGGATGACTGTCGCTGCTCATGGCTTTAAAGGAATAGTTCGACATTTTGGGAAATGTGCTGGGTTTTTTTGAGAGTTACATAAGAATATTGCGGCCACTTTTATTTCTGTATGTTTGAAGCTATAAAGCCAGGATGTAATTAGCTTAGCTTAGCAGGAGTGGAAGCAGGCAAGCAGCTGCCTCCTGGGCTGAAGTGGCAAAAACTGCAGTTTCTTACTGCTAAAGCTAATTGGCTATCTAATTGTAGTTAGCAGTGCACTTTTGCAAGTTTCTGGTTTTATTTTACGTTTTTAATCAAAAGGAAACACAGGTCATGAGATTTGCACAGCAGCATGATATAGAAAAAAAATCGGTTCGACTTGGAGTTCAGACATACAGTACACCTACCAACACCTCTGAAGTAGTATAAATACTGTAAATAGGTGAATTTCCCAAAATGTCAAACTGTTCCTTTAAACATGGCAACACCTTTCTCTCCAACAAAACATCTGCTTGTACATTCACTTCTTTAAAGGTCTTGTGTGTAATATTTAGGAGACTCAATTGGCAGACATTTAATATAATAGTATGTTTTCATTAGTGGATAATCACCTCAAAATAAGACATTTTGTGTGTTCATTTCATTAGAATGAGCTGAAGCAGCGGGTCCTCTTCTACAGAGGCCGCCATGTCGAACCACCATGTTTCTACAGAAGCACAGAATGGACAAACCCAACACTGGCTGCAGATAGGCCCTTTTCACAAGATTACACATGGAATTTAATGTGGAATGGGAGGTTGAGGCAAGGGTGGTGCAATCAGCAACTACACAGCTAGATGCCACTAAATCCTACACACTTGGACCTTTAAATGCACTTATTTCCTTCCAGTCTTAAAGAGTGATACTGTCCAATCCAATTTCTCTTCTTTGTGTTGAGCAGTATCATACTATTATATATATATATATATTATATATAGTATAGTACTCTAGCATATTGGAGCAAGGGTAAACAGGATTGTGTCAAGGCCTAGAAATGTGCATTTGTTTTATTTAAAACAAACCATGTCTTTGAAGCATTTATCTTTGCTTTTGGAGAAATCAAGTAGCGTACTGTGCTGTTAATTTTGATGTTTTGTTGCTGGTGACTGATATTTCTGCAGTAGCACAGATGGAAAAGAAGACTCAGGAGAGCTGGACTTCAGTACCTTATTAAAAAAGAGGTGGGCAATTACAAATAGAGATAGTAATTTAGTTTCTTTACTTCAGGATAATACTTTTTTTGTCACTTTGTATAATCTAACTGTGTCTCATTTTCACTTTTTCTGGACCACTCTGCGTCTTCAGAGAGTAAGCTACTTCTAAGTTTGCACACTAAAAGTTGGAATAACCTAATAACACTTACCTGCATGAAATCAGGCCTAAACATTAACTCACAACACACAACTATAAATTAGCACAACATGATGTGTCCAATGTCTCAAGATTTTAACTTTTGAGTTTGCAAAATCTTCTTCAAATCATCCAATTTGTATGCCAGTAGAAATACCATGTACAATCATATTGAAACAGAACAAAGTCCTGGTTTCCGACCGTATGTGGTCCTGATAATCTAGTTGCCCTACCTTATCTCACTTTTATCATCACATTTATCATATTCTACATTAATCCTATGATCACTAATATTTTATTATCTGTCTTGAAGGCCTTCTCACTAATACTAGAAGAATAACACATATTGTTTATGGTCAATGAGATTCTCTATGTGAGCCCTCTTTGAGTTAAGAAAGAGTTTTACTCAAAAACAAAAGTCCCTTTCCCAACACATGGAAAATCTCTTCTGTGTATCATAAACAGTTACCAGATATTTATTGTCCCCTGTGCCCAAGAAGATTGGACACCATGTCAAATTCCAAACAAACAATTATGTTAACATGTGATTTTAACTGACTGGTGTTGTTGATATTGTGCAGGCTTGCTTCACTGATTAACTACTGGTATAATATTTAAGGTGTGATTCGTTTTAAAGGCATATTTCTAATGTGCTGATTGCGTTGCTTTTGAAATGCTGTGTTTTAACTTGTCTGGTTTGTTTTGCCATATTTGCCTCTTGGGTTCAACCTCTGAATGAGCAGCAGTTTCTTAAAATCCTCCAATCGGTAAGAAACTGCTGATGTGCTGTCTGGGTATTGCAGGAAAACATTGTTGTGCATGCGTTGTCGTCTGTCAGCATTCAGTCTTGCATTCATTTATTAGATAACAATTAACATTTTACTGTATTATCACATTATAATGATAATAGGTATGGTAATTATTGTTTAATAATGAATCTATACAATAAGAAATACAATGTTTACTAATCTATATTAGAAATTATATAGTAGAAATTATTTAATCATACGTGCACAATCTCGTACTACTTGGGTTTATGCTACTTCGTACTATAATTCCAGCTCATACACAGGTTGTACTTTTTACTCCACTACATTTATCTGATAACTTTGTTACTTTGCATTCAAAGATTCTCCATCCAAAATATCATCTTATAAAATATCATACATTGTTGTAGATTAAACTACCCAAAATTATGTAAAGTAGTTAAATTTAGCTCCAATTTGACCAGCTGGCAACAGCAAAATGTTACTCACACATAATAATAATAATAATAATAATAATAATAATAATAATCACAATTAAATCCACGACACTAAGCAGGCCATTTCTTGGATAATGAGAAAAGTTTTAATAAAAAGTTTTTTATGTACTTAATATGAAAAGTATTTTTGTACTGAAGTATTGCTGTAGTACATTGAATACTTCCACTACTGATAAAGATAAGATATTCCTTTAATAGTCCCACAATGGGGAAATTCCAAAACAGTTAAGAAAAACTTACACATGCAGTGATACACAGATAATAGACTCATACTCAGAAGACTGAACAAGGCAGGCGATGTGGAAAAGCCTTTTACTCACTTGGTCAATCAAGCTTAGAGCGAGCAACAACAACAACAAAGAGACACAGACAGCTTGAACACGAGGCAGCTTAGGCAGGATGTTCTGAACACCACTGCCTGTGTACACTGCACTGGTGAGCTGATGAGTTGATGGAAGGAAGCTGCAGACAAAGCCTGTCAGGTGATTGGCGGAGGTGGATAAGTTGCTGGGGGCACCTGGTGGACAGGTGTGGTAAAAACAGACAGAGGGAGGGAGATGCAGAGGGAGAGAGGAGGAGGGGGAAGAGAGTGCAGCTATCACTAGCTATCACAAAGTATTTAAGACTAAAGATCTTGGGCTGTTTACAGCTGGGCATTACAAAAAACTTTAATATAATCTTTGTTTAAATTAATTAACACAAGGCCTTAAACATGCATTAACATTATCTTGTGTATATATGGTCACACAAAACAACAAATGGTTATCAAAGGGAAGTGGTAGAATAATCAGCAATATCAAATCAAAGCAATTATATTGTAACACTTTGTGGTCATGCAATAAATGATCATTTTTGTATAGAAATCACTGTAATACAATGTAATATATACCATTATCAAACCACTGATCATTTTATAGGTTATCAATTAGTAAACAATGTATGACTAATCATCGGCTGCTTGTTAGTTTTCATTAATTGTGAATTTTGAATAGTAATAGTAATCTGTGAGGTATTACAGTAGCTCTGTTACATCCCTGTAATCTCTGTGCTAAGTGACTACTTGTTTTAACATCTTCTTTCCTCTGGTTGGCTAACGTGCATTAGAAACGTGCAGATGAGCTCAGAGCCGGACGTGGATGTGTGGGAGATTCTCAGAGATGCTCCTTCCTCAGAATATCAGAAGATTGCTTTTCAGTATGGCATTACTGACCTGAGAGGCATGCTTAAGAGACTCAAGAAGATGAAGAAAGAAGAGAAGAAAAGTGCAGGTTTGTGCAGAGTTTTATAATAGGACGATTCTGACGAGATGTAATATATAGACCTAATTGTAAATGATAATTTTATGTCTAACTTCTCCAAAACTTAGCTTTTCTCAAAAAGTTGGATCCTGCTTACCAAGTGACAAAGGGACATAAAATAAAACTGGCCATTGAGGTCGCCAATCCAGATGTTGACGTGAAATGGCTGAAGAACGGACAGGAAATCCATCCAACTGGAAGGTTAGAATTTAGAGGGGAGAAGGAAACTATTCACCTCAGCTCTATAAAACATGCAGCGCCTGTACATCGTTAAAGCATTCAACAAATATCCATGATTTTTCATTTCTCTATTTTTCCTCTGCTTTCATCAACATGTGGATGAATTCCATACCTTGTTCTTTCATTACGTCCCTAGCAAGTAAGTGTCCAAGAGCAAATAAAAAGCTCTTTCCACAACACATTTACAGCTTCATCATCAATTTTATGTGTTCAACTTAATTTGTTTAGTAAAATGTTGTCACCAAATACTGCATTAAAAAGTTTTATCCCTTAAAAAAGTATTTACACTGTATCTCTTCCCCTCTTTTGTCAAGGTACATCTTTGAGAGTGTTGGCAACATGCGCTACCTCACCATCAACCACTGCTCCTTGTCAGATGATGCAGCGTATTGCTGTGTGGTGGGAGATGAGAAATGCACCACTGAGCTCTTTGTTAAAGGTATTTAAGTTTTAGAGTAAAAACTACAACATAACAAATCCAGACAAAATACACATTTGCAAGAGCTTTAAGTTCTCATCCTTGTCTGTTATCTTTCAGAGCCTCCTGTCATGATTGTGAAGAATCTGGAGGATCAGATGGTCATGAAGGGTGAGCGGGTGGAGTTAGAGTGTGAAGTCTCAGAGGAAGGAGCCAATGTTAAATGGTTAGATATTCTTCTTTACACTCACAAATCAACTCACTGTTAGGAGTTACATTTTCATGGTGTTGGATCATAAGTCCCAAATGTAGCATCGCCTAAAAGAAAATTCTAAAATCAATGAGCCATGTCAGATTGCCAGGTTAACGGTCACTAAATCAAATCAAAACAGGTACAATTAATCCTTTCTTTGAATTAAAAGCTAATTTGCAGTCCCTCTTACACAGTGTTCATTGCTGAGACACCCAGCAGATGGCATTTGAGTTTGTCATGTCCACAGACAGAGCAATGTCTCTGTGACAGACTGAAGTATCGCTGCAAGCCGTAAATTATCACCTCAGCGGAAAGGTCACGTCAGCATTTTAGTATGCCCCATATGACCTTTATCTGAAGGAGAAAGTTGCTGCAAATGCGTAAAGGGCTTTTATTTTAGTCCAAAATAATTATCTTGGAAAAGAGGCCAAAGATCAATATGTGGGGGGAAAAGTCACATGATTAATGGTGAAACTGAGACAAATTTCACATTACAAAAGGTAAGACGTGTCATGATCTAAAGTCGACAAACATCAGTGATAAATATAATATACTAACCTTTATAAATCTGTTAAGTACACCACTTCTCTAGGGTATTCAAATTAAATCTAGTCTAGTTTTTTGAACAGTGTATGGCAAAGGTCCCGGTTTTCAGAACTTTCAATTAAATCTCACTATCTTCATTCAATAAATGGAGCTAGCTTACTTGTCGTTTCACGACCTAGATGTCTGTCTTGTAAAACCCAGTCATATACTGTAGGAGCAGGAGACATCATAACGTGTGGTTGAAAGCTCCAAATATAGCAAGAAGTCCTTTGAGCTCAGATTCACTTCATCATATGATGTTTTTTGATATTTACTGAATTATTAATCAAGTTTTAACTCTTAAAAACCTGCTCATAAGTTTAATTACGACACGTTTTAATCATGACATAATTTTGGTTGCTGCAGGGAGAAAGACGGTGTGGAATTGACAAGAGATGAGTCTTTCAAGTATCGCTTCAAGAAAGATGGCTGCAAACATGTCCTGATCATTAATGAAGCCACGAAGGAAGACTGCGGCCACTACACGGTTAAAACGAATGGCGGCGAGTCTATGGCTGAACTCCTGGTGCAGGGTGAGTGCCTGTCATGCTCAGTACAGTATGAACCACTTTTGTCGCTCCAAGTGCACATTCTCATACCCTAGCAAGAGTTGTGCGACCTTGCCACTCCCGGCATGCTGTCTATCTTTGGGATATAGTGCCATTGCCTGCATCATTCTGCCAAGGTTACCGCGGCGACGTAAGTCCACATACCAGCTAAAGTTAGAAGACGTGGACCATATTTCACCTGAAGGGCACAGGTGTGCACAAGTGACCTGGTTTGTCTCTCTGCTTTTTGTTTCCCTTGTCTCAGTCGCCTGTGTTGTTGTTGTTTTGCTGTATCTTTGTCACTCTTTTACATTCAATAGTTGGCATCATATGTAACCAAAAGTAGAATAAAGCCGGAAATTTTAATAGTTTATAACAAAAACAATACCATAAACTCACTCTTGACACTCAAACTTGAGAGTGAAAAATCAAGTCTTTGTTTTGTGAAAAAATAAGTTGTTTGAAAGTATTTTTTATTATAGATGATTCCTCTACTGAGCCCCCCAGAAGCCTGATTTTAAGATATAAGATCAGTCAGTTATCTTTGCTTTAATATGGTGTTTTGAGTATATTTAAACCTACTACAAGGAGTTTTAAACTGGTTATGTAACAGTCTCAATTAAATACTAATTCCTTTATATGACCTACATTAACACACCAGACAATCTACAAGAAGACTGGTTATTTCTATATAGTTATTCTGTCTGTCATATTCCCCTTGAAATCAATTGAATGAGGCGGTGGAAACATTACCACTTTTGTCCACAGGGGCCACCAGAATCAACAACATGAAAGTTCCTTGGTGCTGCTTTAAGACATGCCATGTTTTGCAGTTTAAGGTGGTTAAATATGTTTAGAAGTCTTAATTTCAATCCACAGGTGATCTAAAAGTGATGGATGAGGACGATTCAAACTCATCCGCACATGGACGTAGGCACAATAAAAACCCCAGCTAGTTTGACCCTCTTTATCACCCAGTAACCATTTCATCTCAGTACCATTAGTATCAAGTATTCATTAGGTTCCCAAAAAAACTTAAAACCATCACATGACAGCCATCAATGTTTATAATTTGACCTTTCCTTCCTGTGTTTTCCTGTAGAGGCTATAATTTAGTCCTGGCTAAATAATACTGAATATATATATAACTCACTTTTGCATATATATTCATATGTATGTGGGATATGGAAATAGGTGTGTGTGTGTGTGTGTGTGTGTGTGTGTGGGTGTGTCTCTGTGTGTGTTCTAGGGGTTGTCGTGTCTAGATTTATACCCAATGTTTGTTCCTGCTCTTAGTCCAGTTAAGTTTCACTGGCCTGTTAATCGAACGCCAAGCCTGCCAAGAATTACCAGCTGCCATCGTGCAGCAGGGATCAACACCTCGGTCCACAGCAGAACTCCCATTATAATGACATTCCCACCTTATTTGCCCTCCCTGGCAATGAGCTGAAACTCCTGTAACCTTTACAGGGAGCGTAGTGTGAGTTATCTCGTCCAGATAACAATTTCTTTGGGATAACTTTAATAACTCCCAAGTACATTATTTTCTTGTGATATACAGTAATAGCCTGAAGCTCCTGCATCTGGTCTTCATATCCTCCAACTTTATTTTCTACCATAAATCCAATTAACTATTCCCCTTGTGTCTGTTGCTAAGATACAACACACAAAGGCCGCACAAAGATAATGAACACCTCACGCTCAAACAGATTATTACCATATTATCCTCACATACAATAGCTGCATCTATTTTTTTTATCATATTATCCTCACACATCATCATCTTATTGCATCTTATTCCGCTGTCTCCTGCAGTAGCACGTCCCCTCTTAAGTCTGAAGGCTTAAAAAAGTTTCTATTATCTGCACTCTGAGCCTATGTTTTTCTGACTGTGCAGAGAAAGAACTTGAGGTCTACCAGAGCATCGCAGACCTCACAGTGAAGGCAAAGGATCAGGCGGTTTTTAAGTGTGAGGTGTCGGATGAGACCGTGAGGGGAACCTGGTACAAGAATGGTGTAGAAGTCAAGTCTGACGCCAGAGTAAACATCACACACATTGGCCGGTGAGGACAATTTTACACTAAATATGCTGCATATATCCACCATGACACTATGAACTACACTTACAATTTTGACCGTTTTAGGATCCACAAACTGACCATTGATGAAGTCAAACCTGAGGATGAAGGAGACTACACTTTTGTTCCAGATGGACATGCTTTTAACCTTTCTGCCAAACTCAATTTCTTGGGTAATATTGATGCTTTTAGTTTTTACACATCAAAATCAACCTCATGCATAGCCTCACAAGCCAAATTTTACTATTACTATTTCTCACTCTCTTCTTTATTTGTTTTCCTAGAGGTGAAGATTGATTACGTGCCACGTCAAGGTACCACAAACTTACTCTCTTGTAGCGTAGAGCAGTTTAAATGCAACTGTTTGTTCATTTTAACTGTTTCTCTCACTTCCTAAGATCCTCCAAAGATCCACCTGGACTGTATGGGTCGCACTCCTGAGTCAACCATTGTGGTGGTGGCCGGCAACAAACTGCGTCTGGATGTCCCTATCACTGGAGACCCTGCTCCCACAGTGGTCTGGACCAAAGGAGAGAAGGTAAAACAGACAAACAGACTTCTGTTATTAATCAGCCTCACACCCATCGACTGACATCCACCATCTGTCCAGAGCAGAGTCGGTAAGGTCTGAAATCTGAAACTTGCTTCGTTCACTATCAAACATATACTTAAAAGCCTTACTAATGTTGTAAAATCCCCCTAAATGTTGGCACATTTAAACAATATGTAGTACATTTCTAATATAATACAAGCTGAGGAGATTACACTCTTACCAACTAACTATTTTGAGCCTGAAAATAACTATTAAGTAGAAAAGATTTGCTCTGTAGAAACACTGATGTTCTCTCTCTGCTAATAAACTTGGCTGGGATACTGAGGTCTTTTAACCAAGCTGAATAAGTACAATACTACTTACAGCTTAATTCAATGATGCTTACTAGCGTGCTGATCCTTGAGTTGAGGAGAAAGAGAGGTTACATGCCCTCTCTGTTCTCTTCAGCTTTTACCGCTTTGCTCTGCTCAAATGTAGGCTAGTTCTGTAAAACCCGATGGAGAGGAGAAAGGAGGGCCGGCGTCCTCTTGGACCCTGAAGGATGGGGAAGTAAGTGTGCATGGCCCGTACGAATATATATGCCTGTTTGTAGTTAATTGACTCTGAAAGCCAAGTCAGTATGTTGACAGCATTGCCATCATGTTTTTCAATGAAGCTTGAAAACACTATGCTCACCTGTAGTGCATTGGATGTACAAATATAGCCAGTGGAGAAGCTGCAATCTACATGCATTTTAAGCATTGTAAACTTGCAATTGTGTTACTGCTTGAGTTGTGAAAATATCATTCATGCAGCCATCAAAACACAAAAAAAATTGATCTTGTAAATACTTGACTGAAAAGGTAGTGTGTGTTTGTATTGATTAACTGCTTTACAACCCCAGAGAAAGAACAGGCTGCAGCAGTAACAAGAGATACAGACAAATACATGAATATCAGCTTCTCCAGTGGCTGTCACTAACCGTGTGTTTTGCTTCTATGTCTCAGTTTTTATAAAGCACTAAGAGCAAGGTGAAAAAATAAAATGCTGCATGTGGTGTTCGTCAATGTCGATAAGGTAAGAGCATGTTTTTAATCTTCCTGCAGACAACAGACACAGTTCAGAGGAAACTGGGCAGTAAGTATATTTTTGTACGGTAACTCTATAAAGTGGTGAATCTTGGAATCAATGCTTAAATATATACAATAAAGTAATGTGAATGTATATTCTGAAGTTGTGCTGAAATGCTTCACATTTTGGGATGGTAAAGTCGGACTAAACTCAAACTAAGGCACTTGGAACTATCTGCCTTTTTACTACACTGAAACAAAAGTCCACCATTTCTTTATTGTCATATTCAATAGAAGACACTTCTTTAGCTAGTAAGAGGACCTTGAGTTAAGTGTTTTTTTTGTGAAACTTCTATATGTATTTTATGTTCCCCTTACATGCCTTTCTCTTGTCAAAATTACCATACTTGCATAGCTACAAGAAATCAATACATGGACTCAACTGCCTTGGTGTCTTTTCAGAAGCTGTCCAGCACCAGTCCTGCATTTTGCATGCTGACATCTTGGGTTGTGTGTTCAATTCAAACATGTAAAAATGCATGAGTTGCTCAAATACTTCAAGAAACTTTATGTTGGTGTTAACCTTTGTCATCTCTCCAAAAGTTGCATGATATTAATATGCCTCGATTAAAGCTACTGTACCGGTGTCTTTGTCTAAGGTTTGTGCAACAGAACCATCGATCAGACTTCACTCAGGCACAGTCCGTAACTCATTTTCTAATTGCATAGGTCATCACCGAGGGAGACAGTAGGGTCCACGTCGAAACCACCAAAGGACACTGTGTCTTCACCATCGAGGGCGCAGATAGACAGGACGAGGGAATCTACTCTGTTGTGGTTCGAAACCCTGCTGGGGAGGACACTGCAGACATCAATGTGAAAGTTGTCGGTGAGACAGAGCTCCCCTGTTAATTTTATTTGTTTATTTTTGGGGGGAGGGTTTTTATGCCTTTGTTGGATAGTGACAGGCGAAGATAGACAGGAAAGGAAGCAGAGAGAGAGGAGTGATGACATGCAGCGAGTGATGAAAGGCCACAGGCTGGATTCTAATCCAGGCCGTTGTGGGGTGAACGGTCAACCATGTGAGCCACCAGGGCGCCCCTCCCCTGTTAACTTTAATGAGAGGAATCTGTTTTCATTATTATCACTGTGTAACATTAAGCCTTAAAACTGCCAATTACCACAAACATCAAAATAGTAAACTCACTTCATGTAGATACTAATATTTGATTTATTTTCCCCCAGATGTTCCAGATCCTCCCCAGGCTGTCAAAATCCTCAGTGTGGGAGAGGACTCCTGTGTTGTCCAGTGGGATCCCCCTCAGTTTGATGGTGGACAGCCAATTATTGGTAAAAAAAACAAACATATTAATCTCATTGTTTATATTATTTTGAAACTACTCAGGCATCCTGCTTTATTCTCCTGATGAGCCCAAGTTTGTAACAACAACATTATTTGCTCCCATTTTAATTCTCAGGCTATGTGCTGGAGAGAAAGAAGACAAAGAGCTACAGGTGGATGAGACTGAACTTTGACCCTTACCCTGACACAACTTATGAAGCCAAGCGAATGATTGAAGGAGTGGCGTACGAGATGAGAGTCTATGCTGTCAACAGCATTGGCATGTCTCGTCACAGTCCAGCCTCACAGCCTTTCGTGCCAGTCGGTGAGTCTTTACCAACAGGTTTAAACCACCTCCTCTCCCACTTGTTGAGTTCAATTAATCATTTTCAGAAATGTGCTCCACGACATATTCATGTGACAGTAGATGGTGAGGAAGTTGACTTCTTTGGATGACTCTGAGGTTCAGAGTCATCCAAAGACGGACACGTAATGTTTACATTGGTCGGGCTAAGGTTTCACTTGGGTCATGTGGTCTGGTTGAGAAATGTGAGACAGGGTCATCTTTGCGATATGTTTGTTGTAATCCAAAGTGTTTGTGGATTGTGTGTAACAAAAATACAGGTTGCACATACATGATCCACAGGTCGCAGTGGCTCAGGTAGAGCATGGTTGGGGATTCCTCTTGTCTATATATCAAAGTGTCCTTGAGCAAGACACTGAACCCTAATAGGCCCTGATGGTTAAAATAGAACTTCACCAATTTAGTATTGCTCCCAACATTGTTGGACTCTCAATGAATTTATTTTTTTTAAACAATCAAATCAACGCAGCACAACCAGAGATATAGTTTTTTTTACTGCATGCATTCTTCTTCTTACATTACCCACAATGCAATGTCATCCTAGTACAGGCTAATGTAGTCTTGAGCCTCCAGCCTCAAGCAGAGGTGAGAAGCGGGCTACAGAGCTTATATATACTGTCAATGCTACAGAGCTCACTTTTTCCAACTTCATACCCAAAGATTTTCTCTTTTTTGAACTTGTAGTCTTCAGACCCAGCTGATGCTGACTCAAGTGACATCACTTGTGACAGAATTGTTTTTCACAAATGCAGTAGGGCTCCCAAAGGCTCCCACACCCACACAGTCTTAAAGAAGTAGGAGTTTACGTTTTTGTCCTCTCTTGATTACTTACTTAAGCTCTACTGCACTTTCCTAAGGAGTTTACTTTCTTGTTTAGGATGCTCTTTTGTAAATGCCTTGTGTAAATCTTTACTTTAGATACAGTACGTCAAGGAAATGCAGCAGGCCCTGATAAATATACAACACCTGGACATGCTGGTGTTTGGCGGTCAGGTTAGGACTAAATAGAAACATGAGGGGAAAAAAGTAAGATGTTAGCTTGATAATCAGACTGAACTTTTTTCTGTGTGAAATGATCAAATCGGAGATGTGTGAGGTAGTCCAGAGGTCCAGAACAATATCCAATAAGGCAGGGGCTCAAGTTTGGATTGTCTTTTAGTCTATCACTCTTTTTTTTTTTTACTACCATCTCATGCTCCACTTGTTGATTTAAGAGGGAACATCATTGTATCCAGATGGCCAATGGCTTGTAAGACAGCTGATTAGGAAACTATCCATGGCATCCCTCTCTATAAATAATTGCATGGAAGCGCTCGGCTCTACTGGGACCAGCTGCTTAACACAGAGGGTTTCATGCTACTGTGGAGGCTGCTCCAGAGGAAGCATTGTTGTCACCACAGCAAAGACAAGAGTAAAGACAACGAGAGACTGTATGTGTGTGCAAGAGACAATGAGAGCATAGGTTAGAGCAAGGCATTTGTCAAAAGAGGCGGACACGTGCAACCACCAGCTTTAATCAGCAGCAGCAGGACTGCTATACACTGAGAAAGGATGACAAAGCCTAAACTTCCAAAGACCGCTGAGAAGAAGCCAGTGGAAGAGGAGAAACCTGTGGAAACAGCAGAAGAGACTCCAGTGGAGGCACCAGCAGAGGTGCAAGACAGCAAGCCTGATACTGAGACAGCTCCACCTCCTGAGGCAGAACAGGAACCAAAAGCCAGTAGTGAACCGCCAGCAGATGCCCCTGCAGAGGCAGGCCCCAGCGGGGAAGTGGGAGCTGCTCCAGCTGAGAATGAGACACCACCAGCAGAGGGTGTCCCCCCAACAGAAAGCAGTCCCCCTGCAGAGGAAAGCTCTGTGGAGCCTGTTCCTGCTGCTGAACCAGAACCAGAGCCGCAACCTGTTTGTAGTAGGCATTATTCATTTTGAGATGTTGGATTGTCATGTCGGTTTTAGAGATAGAGATTAAACTTAAACTTTTACGTTTATATGTAAATGACTTTAATGGGAAAATTGGCTGCATATTCCAGCCCCTCATTTTTCACTGGTGTACATGTTTGAAAGTGTTAAGCATGGTTTAGTAATCGTGCTGTTGATGTTGCAAAATTTCTAGTTTTAACCTTAAAAACACATCTGAATGAGATTTTTGTCCTGACTACCCTGAGCTACTTTTTAAACAACCTAAGCAGCGATGACTTTCTTCACACAAGGAAACCCTTGACCTCTGGCAGGCGTTCCTATCATTTGCCTGCACTGTATACATAGCTTGTGTCCTATGACACAGAGTCTTGGCCTTAGTGACAAAGCCAGACTAAAACTCAACACCTCTCAGTCTATTCTCATGTTGTCAACAAGTCGTTGCAGCAACATGATACTATATGACTTAATATTACCTCAGAACAATGATGAGATGTTCTTTTCTCAGAAAGCAGTAGTATTTCACTGAATGATTTAGTGTGTGTAAATCCATCACCAGGCTGGCTGCAGTTTCCAGCATACTTCACTTGTTTTAAGCCAAGCTAAACTGATTGCTCTACTATTAAAACATAAAAATGTTTGCACCTGCTTAAACTTTTCAAAATGAAAAATGACTCATTAGTGCTCTATTAAGTAATCCATGACCATTATTACTATTAGCAGTCAATTAAACATATCTTCTCCCCTTCATAATTCCTCCTGACCCCTTCAGTTTTACAGTAGACATAAGTAAGCTTGTAAATGAGAGTAGAGGTCTTAAATCATAACACTAAACGCTATAATAATAAAAAATGCTCCATCATTTTTTTACTTGAAAACCTTTTAGTGTCTGCAGTTAAAATGTGTTTGTTCTGACATTGCTTGCAATGCGTGGGAAGAAGCTGACGAACCAAACTCTTTTAATGCAAACTTAAATCGTGTCATTTCATCCCTGCGGGGCAGAAAGCACAGCAGGCACTTAGACTTCAGTCAAGCTGTGAACTCCAGGTCTTTCAGACAGCTCATCTTTCCTGGGATGACATAAGCAGGTTTACTACAGGCTAATAGATTGTTTTGATAACTGATAACACAACCACAAATATTTGACATCACTAGGATCAGCTGTTGTTATTACATACACAATCACATCTGCATCACTCTTAGTAAATTAAATGGTAACTTTGACTAGTTTCTTGGATGGTTAACATTGTTATATGTTAAACATACAGCTACACCAGCTGCGGTTGATGTTTTTCCTTAACATTATATATGATACTTCACAACGTACCTTAAGATTGTTTGGACAAGTAGACAACAAGCCAATATGACCACGTCCACAAACTTTTGTCCAGCAGCCTCATTTCTCTTTAATTGGCTGAAATAACAGACAAATTAACTACTAACTAACCTTTAGTCCAAATATCTGTGATTGTTTCTGATGCTGTTTGTATGTGCATGTTATTTTGTTTTATCTTTGTTTTATGTCTTCTGCTGTACACACTGAGATGCTCATTCGTCATTTGATGGCGGTTTATGAAGATACTGTATGTATGAAATGAAACCTTGAAGTGAATATTAGATAATACTGCTGCTATGGAACAGGGGATAACAAAAGTAATAGCACTGAAGCACTGTTTGCTGTTACAAAGCTCTGGGAGGCTTTTTGTTATATTACATAATTTGTTAATTCCCGATCAGGTTCATCCACTAGTCCATTAATTAATTCTGAATTTATTTCAGTAATGCTTTAACTGACTAACAGAGCCCATTTATCTGCCCTCTGCCTCACTCTCAGCCCCCACAAGTGCGCCCATCGGACTGTGTGTCGACGACATCAGTGACACTTCGATCTCGCTGAAGTGGCGGCGGCCTGAGAGGATCGGCGCAGCTGAACTTGAGGGTTATGGGGTTGAGTACTGCAAGGAGGGCAGTAAGTGTTGGAGCCACATGCCTGCATGCTTTTGATAAGGAAGGTTTTTTATAGCATATACCATCAAAGACATCAGTTAATCACAGTGAAGCGCAGCAACTCATTTATGCACACAGGGTCAGTCAGATTACCAAAATTTATTGTTAGTTGGGAAGAGGATGAAAACATTTCTACCCAGGTAGCTAAATGGTTAAAATACCATGTCATCACAACATCCCTGGCTGCATATATCACACACTTCTCTCCCACTTGGTTTACTGTCTGCCTCTATCCAGTAAAGTAAAATCAAAATACAGTATATGCCCCAAATATGTGTGCCACAGTCACTATGTGGTCACTCTGTGTTTTATTAATACAAAACAAACATGAACAAAAGCATATACATCGATTTCTCAATGAATCTTTAACCCCAGAGGCTATGCAGGTTAGGGCAAAATAAATACAAAAAGCATGAAAGTTTAGTGTTTTCATAGTTCTTTCAACATACCTGAGCCATCTTTCCTGTATTTTTTTGCTCTAGGGGTGCGTCTGGGCCATTAGTATGATCACATTAACCTTTGTAATGATCTACTTCAGATATCTTGATGATCCACTAACAAAATAGAGGCTCAGATGAACTTGTATCTCTATATTTAACTTTCGTTCCATTTGCAGTCAAGTGAATTATGTGATTGTAATTTGTTGTTGGTCGCAGCGGATGAATGGATACCAGCCATTGAGGGTCTGACTGACAGGACATCGTTGATCATCAGAGATCTCACCACCGGAGACAAGCTGCAGTTCCGTGTCCGAGCTTACAACATGGCAGGACCCAGTGCTCCCACCACTCTGGCTCAACATGTCACCATCAGAGAGATAATGCGTTAGTATTTATTCATCTGCTCCTGCTCCCTAAGTTTCAACACCTGCAACTGGGCCTTGTCTCATTTAAACTCCCTTCTCTTTTTCATTACCTGTCATGCCTTTTATTTTGTGCTTTTTCTTTCATAGAACGACCTAAAATTTGGGTCCCAAGAAACCTCCGCCAGACTCTGATTAAGAAAGTTGGAGACACTGTCAACATTGTGATCCCATTCCAGGTGCAGTAACCATTAAGATAAATCAATCAGACACCTTCTTGAAATCATCATTAAAACACCAAGATGCTTTATTCTGAATACAGTATAAACACCAGAGACTGAGTTACTATTTCCACACGAAACAATAAAATGAACCAGTAACTTGGGTAAAGCTAAGAAATGCAGAAAGGTAAAAGGTATTTTGTTTTGTCATTATACATATGGTTGCACAATGAAGCTCGAATAACATCAAATAGAATATTTAATAAAACAATATATACAGTTAGTATAGTTGTTATATATACATACATATACACCAGGGAAATAAGTCTGCAGTGTATCTTTTAAATTTGCGTCTGGTGTAATGTAAACAGCAGCAACCACATAGCGAAGAAACGCTGTCCATCCACTTTGACTGCATTTGAGCACCAACCATTATCAGTGTAAACATAGTCTGCCTCCCCTTGCTGATGATTGACTTCAAAGTCATCAAAAATAGACAGTAAGATTATCTTTTTAAAGTTACAGTATATAAAACTGACAGAGAGAGGCTCTGACAGCAAACCATAAAACACCTGTTGGTGGCATCAGGTCATTCGGGTTCATCCTTTGAGGACCATGAATGTTTGTTGTTTTACACTCTGGAGCAAAGTGGTGTAGTGACAGACTGACCAACATACTACAGCCACATATGGCAAGGTTTCCTTAAAAAAAGAATAATGTTTTTGAAGATAGATTATCAGCGGATATTGTTTAAAGCTCACTTTTGTTCATGTATTATTTGTAAATGGAAACATATACCTTTGTCGTCTTGTCTTTACTTGTCACACAGGGTAAGCCCAGGCCAAAGGTTACATGGAGCAAAGATGGGGAGCCTCTACTACCCACATTTGCATGTGTCCGGAACAGCGATGTGGATACGATCCTCTTCATCCGCAAGACAGACAGAAAACACTCAGGGAAGTATGATCTTCAGGTGCAGATTGAGAACGTGGAAGACACAGCAAGTGTCACACTGCAGGTTGTTGGTAAGCAGGAGCGAACACACATAACGTATTAGCTGTGGGTATTAACAGCAATGAATACAATCTCTAGCATTCATCAACCATGCAGTGGTTTTGCCAGTGGAAAGTTCAAATCATATTTCTCCGCTGTAGATCTCCCAGGGTCCCCTGAGGCTCTAAAGATCATTGATGTCTGGGGCTTCAATGTGGCACTCGAGTGGAAGCCGCCAAAGGACAACGGTAACTGTGAAATAACTGGTTACACCATTCAGAAAGCTGACAAGAAGACCATGGTGAGACTCTACACCCTTGGGGCCTTGCAACAAAGCTTACATCTGTTTTAATATTACATTCAATTGAAGCGTAAAGCAAGCTTCTTATGTTGGTGGTGGGCAATTATATTCAAATTAAATCACTTTTACCGCAATTATCCAGTAGTAAACCTTTTTGAACCCAATGTAGATAAACTAATTTTCCAAGAAAAGAGACCAAATCTGAATGGGCCCAGAAGACTGTCAGACAGATTCAAACGCTGGCTGCCACTGTTGATGGTAACATCTGGTCTTGATTATTTGGTACCACTATGATCCATCTTGGGTCCAGATCTGAATACTTTTCAGCATTAATCTTCTTTCCAACTTCATTTGTTGACTTTGTCTCCATTCTTCTGGTGGTCACATACTAAATCTTTTTAGTTTACTTTTTGACCACCTGCTCTCGCCCGCAACAAAGTCAAAACCACTCTGCTCCCGCAAGATTTGCACTGGGTTTTGTGGGGACTGCGGGATCCTGATCCAAATGCAGTCCTCTACTACCCATCCCAATGAAATTGAAAGTAATTTGGGCCTGGCCTAACTCTGGTCTCGAGTCCAGAGGTCTTCTTAGAGGACAGCGATGGTTGCCATGTCATTATTGCCATGTGGGTCACTGAAACTGATCCATTGCAGGCATTTAGTCTCTATTAGCATGAATGAGTGTGTGGGTACATGTGGTAGGATGAATGCTGCATGGACACAGAGGGATATTTTAGCGTCCCTTGTGACAGATATATCCTGTAATCAGCCAATGCTGAGCACGCAGTCTCCTCTGTGGGCCAGGAGTGATGCATTATGGGCCTGTTGGCAAGAGCTCCAACTGGCACCATCCTCCACCTCGAGCTGCCAGGAACAATGTCGGCCAGGAATGTCCTAATCTGATCCTCGTAGCCTTGACCTGGTCCGGATTGTCTGCACAGTGACGCAGGGCCATTGTTCTCCTGCCCAGCTCGGCTGATGGTTCATGTTTCACTGTAGTCATTATTAGATCAAATTAATTTCACATGCATCTCTTTATAGCAAGCACAGGGATGTTGATTATCATGTTACCAATAACAATGTACTGTGTACCTGATAGATGTCAGACATAAAAGTGGATAAATATAAAAGTGCTGAGGGCACATGTAGTTTAAATCTACCCATATCCTATTTCATTCTTGTACCTTGATAAATACATTTAAACTAAGAGCGATCACACACAGCTTCTTTAGTTTCAAGTGGATTACGATGGTGTTTTGAAATGAAATTAGTTATATCTCATTTTTGTAGGATTTTATTTGCCATATTTTAATAAATAAATATAATTTGTCTGAGTAAACAAACAATATCAATTTATCAGGGTGTCCACAGTTCAATAAACTGAATTTCAGACTTTTAAATGTCTTAAATATTAAGTTAAAATGTATTGGATTAATTAAGTTAAAAGTACTTGTATAGGGTAGCATTTTTCAGTCTCGCTTTAAATGTGTTTTGGGGATTTTTTTTAAATGTTGTATTGATCATGCTGTAACAAATACAAAGCCAAACCGACATGGAACCAATACTGATTTCTACTTGATATCCTTTGTAAATTGTTTTGCCAGTATAGATATAAAATTAATAATAATGGTCTTTAAAAAAGGTCTTGAGAAACCTGCAGAAGGCCTGAATTATGATGCTCACCATAAACCTACTCCATTTTCTCACTGTACTACATACTGAAATTTCCTCAAATATTGGATTTTAAAGTGATTGTAGTACAAGTCAGGTGAACTGTCATTTTAGTTTTTTAAATTTCAAGTTCTCAAATTGTAAAAAACATCATCAGGTGTAGGTTTCACAGGCGTTAATAGCCAAACACATCAATATAAAATCTGATACTTACAGACAAATCCATTTACAACATCTGGAAGCCCTATATTGAGTATCTGGATAAGGCCACCATCCATTCAGAGGACATGGGAATGTGGGTGGGAGGGGTTAATGGATGTGGGATTGGCTAGGAGTTGAGAGAAGCGAAGGTGGGTTTGTGTTCTTGTTCTGGTTCAGGTGTCAGGTGTCTTCAGATCTTTCAAATCAGAGACCAGCCCAATCTGATGTCCAAGATAAGGTCACTGTTTACTGCTCACAATATTAGTGTAAAACCAATAAAAAGATTTATAAAGAAAAAGAAAAATAAGTTGGGTTGAGATCAATTGTGAAGACCACAGCACAGGATTTACATCAAGTCACTGAGTGACCCCCTCATGTCCTGTATGGAAGCATTTATTATGTATTAACTGGTACTGTCTACCTGTACAACATAAATTATATATTGAATTGGAAAAACTGAATCTGAAATATTTTTGTGTGATTCATGTGAAGGAGTGGTATACAGTCTACGAACAGTACAGGCGAACCCACAGCGTCGTGTCTGACCTCATCATGGGGAATGAGTACATCTTCAGAGTCTTTGCCATCAATCTGGTGGGCCTCAGCCCCGAGCCCTGCACCACGAAAGACAGCGCTTACATCCAGAAAACAGGTGGGTCCCGACTGCACATACACATTTAGTACGTATGTGTGTAAAATCCGAGTAGTCATAAATGCAGAAGAAAATTGCCTTTCTGTCTCCTCAGGTATTGCGTACAAGCCGCCCTCCCACAAGGAACATGACTTCTCAGAGGCTCCAAAGTTCACACATCCTTTGGTGAACCGGTCGGTCATAGCGGGATACAACGCTACCTTGAGCTGCTCAGTCAGAGGAATACCGAAGGTCAGTTTAGGTCCTTACATGAAAATGTGCATGAGAAGATATTTGTGATCAAATTAAATCACAGAAACAAATAAAATGGATGTGATCAATTGCCAGTTTAATATTTTTTATATTTTTATTGTAAAAAATTAATTTAGGGAGACATTTTGAGCAGCCTACTCAAGGTCCATCTTATAGCTTTTTCCAGAACTATCAACCATATAAAAAGTAGCTGATTTAATTCACAGCACTTGTAGGACTTTTAGGACTTTTCCATCTGTGTTGGCTTGAAAGTTAAGAATGAAAGTTCACTCTTCACATTTGAAATAGCAGAACAATCCAAATTCAAGATCCAACTTTTTCCTGAGATTTCAACCATACAGTTGAGAGCCAAGAATTACTTTAAATGCGTAAAATACAACAACAAAAATTTAAACCAAATGCAAAATACTCCCAAAACAACTTATATCTATAACTTTCTGAGGCACACATAAAGTGCCTGCCTCTTCATGCAGACATTTAAACACTCCATCTTCAGTGAAACAGCATCTACTGCATGAATCCAGTGATTATTATTTTTATTGCAGATTGTGTAAAACATCACCTGACATACTGTAACACTCTGTCCCACCTTGTTAGCCCAAAGTGACCTGGTACAAAAACAAGATGGACATCTCAAATGAAGCAAAGTACCGCATGCTCAGTAAGCAAGGTGTTCTGACGCTGGAGATCCGTAAGCCTTGTCTGTTCGATGGGGGAGTGTATATGTGCAAAGCAGTCAACGACAGCGGAGAAGACGTAGTAGAGTGTAAACTGGAGGTTCGCCGTAAGTATCCGAGAGGGTGTCTTTTAGCTGATTGTTTTGTTTTTTGAGTGTTTTGATTCACTGTCACTGCTCTCATAGCTCAGCACCAAACAGCAGACACAGTTAACAACTAGCTGGTGAACATAATGGAGCATTTAGCAGCTAAAAAGCCAGATATTCCCCTCAGGAGTTGGATGAGACCCAAAACAGAGCTCAAAGAGAGTGAATATTGCTCTATGGCAGCTGGATGTGTAAATAGGTTTGCTAATGTTTTAATAAAGCAGATGATAATATGTCACACCTTGTTTCTGCTTCCCCCAAGTGGACAAAAAATCAGTTCTATCTGTTGCAGGTTTAAGTCAAAATACATAATAGTGATGACAGTGACAGTATGTAGTTTGTATTTGCTTTTTGAAAAAATGCAACTAATTTAATTCTTATCTTCCTGGCTTACAGCCCAGATTTTTAAAGAAGAAAAGAAAGAGGAAAAGAAGTAAGAAGTTTGAGCTGCTGACTGAAGAGAAGATCTATTTCTCTCCAGTGGCTCCTGCATGTTGACTGTTTGTGTTTCATGATAAACTCTTCACCTGCATCACAAACTGTGTTTAGCTTTTTTTTCTCTTTTGTCTTTTGCACCTCTCTCCTCTCCTGCAACCATCTTACATCTCTTCATCCTCACTGTTATGTTTAGTATCATGTACCACCGTCCGATTACTGAACCGACTGGGTCTCGTGCTTGCATTTGCTGTTATGTGTTATTTAATGAGTAATAATTCATGGTTTGTCTCTCTATTCTACAGTCAAAAGAAAGTAGCAACATTTATGAAAATTACTTACCTGTCCTATTCAGCCGATAAACAGGAAATGGGTTAAAGTGTTTGGATTTGTTTGTGTGCTTACAAAGTTCAATATAAATGCTTCAACAACACAAGAGTGAGTGATTTCATTCATTTATATTATCAAGTAATGCCATTATGCCACAGTAAAAGTATGGCGCGCAGGTGGAGGCCAGTTTCCCAAATTACCATCATGGTAGCTGTAGCAGTCGTGGTATTCAGAAAATGTAAAAAGCATGCCACTGATACTGAGAAGTCCAGTGGAATGGACGAGAGTTGTCGGGGGCTTAGTTTTATTGTAACAAAGCCTCGGTAAAGCCAGAGGTGTAAGGCATGTGCCTAATGTGCACGCCACAGAGGGATGTGTATGAAGGGCTGGAATAGCTGAGATGTCCTTTTACACTGAGGACAAGTGTCAGTGAAGTGGAACACATGGCGGGGTTCGTCGAGTGGGAGCTGCTGTAACATCACTCGACAGTTATTCCTTTGGTGCCTTGAATGTAAATATTTCCTGTGCCCGCTCAACGTACAGCTGCAAAAGATCCAGCGGGCCTTGTACATGTCACTGGGCCACTATTAACACCCATGACGAATGTCTTACAGCACCTCCGTGTTTGCCAGGTGTTTTGACGTGGGGTTTCACCAAAATCCACAAATTACGAGTGAATAGGCTACACGGTTCAAAGCCAAACAGGACGCATCAAATTTCACGTATGTTTCTTTATACAGTCCCAGAGGTTATTTTTCGCTCATCACCAACTAACAACTCACTACTCGAGTGACGGGAGCCAGCAGTGGTGGACAACGTGACTCGTAGCTGGAGGCAAAAGGAAACTCCACTGAATGGCAGAAATGGCCTCATACATGTTAACTGACTCGGAAATGTCTACATTTAGAAATTGTGTTTGCATGGGCAACTTCAACTGGTAAACAAGACCAAGTCTATAGCTAGCTCTGTGAGCAATGGTAGGGGAAGTACTCACATCTTTAAATTAGGTAATAATGTAGAAAAACTCTGTTACGAGTTAAAGTCATGCAGTCGTTATCTTACTTGTACATTACACTTTATGTACCAAAACTAAAAATATTGATTATGCAGAATAATGTATAATTATTGGTGCATAGTTGTTCACACTGTTCTTACTTTCCATAACCCAACGTCAGCATGCTAACATTCTCACAATGACAGTGCTAACATGCTGATATTTACCATCTTAGTTTTTTCATGTTAACATTTACAAATTAGCACTGAACACAAGTGCAGCCATTAGCAGCAGCAGTCATTAGTTTAGTAGCTATTTTATCAT